TCTTTATGTCACTCAAGGTTACAATCTTGGAGCATCACTCTAAGAATTGTTTTGGAACGAAGTATGAATCATCTTCTTGATTTAACCATTTCAATAATTCATGACTCCTCTTCTTATCCATAAGAACGCACTAAGATGTTCTTAGAGGATCAATTGTGATATGGTTTTACATAATCATTAAGATGATCATAAAACACGATACTAAAGTACTCTCCCATTTTTTAGAATGGAGAAACTTTTATCTTTCTGCCTAATTTGATTCTTCTCATTCGTTCTGCCATACACTGAGACTTTTCCAATGTTTCAGAATTATACTTAAACTTGTAAGTATAACCATATTTACTAAACTTTAGTAAATCATGACGAATAGTCTTATCGATCTTTGTGGTGGACCTTGACCAGTGCACAAGAATGTGTACTCAATCCCTTAGTCCTTCACTTGAGCTACATATACATGTGATCAAGGAATTAGTCTTAATTGACCAAAAAACGGGACTTCTCATTCATCATACAATACAAGTTGCATGATTCCAAGTTTCTATCCAACCGAAACTTGGGTGATGAGAATCTTTCCTTATTTGGTAAATTATGACACTACCACAAATGAAAGAATCTAATGCATTTTCCAATATTGCTATTAATGGAATCATATAAACAACAATTTTCACAAATGCCATTGTAAGGAAACTTAAAATGAGATAAAATAAAAATAAAATTTTTCTGTATTTACAAAAATTTGCGGAAAAACTTTTCCTCACAATGAAATTACAAATGAAAACAATGTTGTTATTTATTCTTAGGCAATTTATCACAACTCTTAAGCAGAAGCTCAAAATTCTGATATTCGAACCATGCGATCCAAACCCATTTTCGGGATCAGAATCATCTTACTCTTCTTTTTTAATCTTCCTCTCCTTTTCATCGATCCTTCAAAACATCAAAATGCGACCTAGTCACATCATGTAATAAGAATATCTAAATAGGAACTTAATAGAGTTAGATAGTGGACTTTACCCGAAGTAGAGTCAAAATTTTGACTTTACCATCCTTATGATCATTCAGGTAAATAGGGCAGCTTCGCAACCAATGCCCCTTCTTTTGGAAAAAGAAGCATATGGACTCTTTAGGAACGGTTTATGGGACTATCTTAGACTTATCCTTTCTCTTTACCATTTAGTCAACCGGGTTGACTATGGCCGATCCCTTTCCATTGGGAAGAGAAAGCTTTTTTGGAATTCTAATGTTACCATTTTCAATGTCCATGGAAGTTGGGAAGTTGATCTTCCAATCAAATTTGCTTTTCCAGTGCTCCAAATCATTGTTGATTCGGCAGCAACAAGCAAATAGGTAAGATTATTAAGGGTCATGTCATGGTCTGTCATATAGCAGTCCTTAAGGAACTCACTATATGACTTAGCAAGTGATTGAAGAACCTAGTCAACAACCAACTTCCTCAAGACTTTGACACCCAACACTCCCCGGCTTGTCAATATGTGACTTCATCTCCAAGATGTAAGCACACATAGACTTTCCATCTTGCCAATAGGGCTTGAGTGACCTAGAAGTTTGTGGGTTAGGGAGAATTTTTGGAAGAGGTGGAGGAAGTGAAGTATGATTTCCTGTCCCATTAATCCACAACAAAGGGATTAATCTTTCACCTTGATTTCCATGTGGGATATCATATTCATTAGGAAAGCTTGTTACAAAAGATTTGGCCAGATCATAGTTGTCTGAACTTAGACATCTATAAGGGAGAAATTCAAGTTAGTTGATTTAAGTCCTTAATATAACACCCAATATGAAATATTAAGGCTAGGACCCAACACAATATTTTATAACTTGGAAGAAGGATGTCGTAATCCAAGCTATAAAATATTTGAAGGTAGGCGAATGACGACTCACCAATTTCCACCATGAAAAACGAAACATGTATTAGGTTTTAATTGGATTGAAACTCCTAGATCTTTTGAGATTCATTGAACTTTTCAATGGCATGTTTAAATCTCGATTGTGCCCTCTCAAGTTTGTGACTGGGATGCCGAGGATCACATACAAGGTGTGAATAACCATGCAAATTAACTTGGTACCCTTAATTTTATCACCTAATCGATGTGCCGGTTAACCACACGCGCTCCACCAATCTATGATAAACATTAAGTTACCCTTTGCCACTCTTACTAGTCCATCTTAGTGTGTCGGTTAACCACACACGCTCCACCAACGACTTAGTAATGTACAAAGTGTAATTTCATGGGTTAGCACCAAATTCATATTTTCCTAAAGTAACTAAGATTGGGAATTTATAAGTGTTTAGTTACTTTATATTTATCATTATACTTTTAATGAAGGGAGAATTAGAGTCCTATCCTACCCGTTCGGCTAACGACCCTCCACCAGTCAAGGAAGCCGTGGGTGAGAGTGGACACCCATTAAACTGTCATTTTATAGGCAGTCACCTTATACCCCCTTATAGACCGACTTCGTGAATGAGGCCTATTAATAATAAGATTGACTTTACTCTTATACATATATATATAAATATTAAACCTATAATATTATAATAGTATAAGAGTTGAATTTTAAACTATTTAAAATTCTAGGGTGGAACTAAAGTATTCAAAAGTGCAACTTTACAAATTCCAAAACTTGAGGGAAAGTTTTGAACAATTCAAGAAACTTTTGGAATCCATAACATATGAGTTTAATATAGGTTTTAAAGACTTTAATGAAGAGACTCTTGAACATCCTAACTTGAGGACAAGTTATGGAGTCCATAAAACTAGTTATGAGAAAAGACTCTTCAATTATGTAACCTATAGCTTTAATGAAGATTTAACACAAAACAAACTTTTGGTTTTACATAACTTGAGGACAAGTTATGGAATCCATTAAAAGCCATTTAGATCATCTAATAAACAAACAAACATGTCAAGAAAACCTATGATCTAGATTAAACTCATATAAACAAGACAATTCAAATCAAACAATTTTCATGTAATTAGCCTAACCATTAAACTAATACAAAACATGAAACTTTTGATAATTATCTTTTGAATTGGATTAGAATGATCATTACCACATCAAAAACAGGTTTATTAGTTCAAAAACAGCTTAGGGTAATGATTCTAGTCCAATTCCAGCCTTAAAAGTCGAAAATATGCACTCTGGGCCTCCTACTCATCGAGTCTATGAACCTACTCGACGAGTAGGATGATTTTGTTCATGGACTCGGCGAGTCCCCCACTGGACTCGGCGAGTCCACAGTCTAGACAACTAGAAAATCGATTTTTTTAGCAATTTGCATCAAGTATAAATGAAAACAAGCCTTGGCTCTGATACCACTGTAGGGTTTTGAGCATTCTAACACTCCTATGGTGTGCATGCAACCCTATATGCTTTGGATCTATGTTTACACGATTATACATCCAAATATAAAAAATTCCAAAGCATCATCCTAACTAGCATATTATGGAACAACTATACTACAAAAAGTCTAGTTAGATGACATACCTTTTGATGGAGCTTGATGTCTTGAACCTTTAAGAGCTTAGTGCCCCAAGTGTTGCACCTCAAATGTTCACACAACACCACCAACTATTGGAATAACTTGAGAAGAAGTATACTTTGGTTCTCTCTATGAAATTCAGCCTTGCCCTCTTAGTGACCACATTCTAGTGCCAATTTCATTAACCAAGGGGTCCTTTATATAGTGTGGCTCATTAGGGTTACACCATGTAAACCCATGACTTTCCATTTCCTTCATGATCCATGGATTTTAACCTCCATGGAGTATCCATGGGTTACCACATGGGTTAAGTCCAACATGAAGAACAATGGATCACTAGCCCACATATATAAGAAAGAATGATTTATATAATCAATCCCCATATATTTAATTAGTCTCTTTTGATCACAAAATTAATTCCAAATTGATTCTTGATCAATATTAATTAAATAATAGGATTTCATATTAATATATTATAACTTATAATATATTAATATAAATCATAAATAACCTTTTTCTCATTTTGTCTATCCAAATGTTCCGATGCCATGCAACCCAAATGGACCATGCTACTCTTGGGTCGAATACATATCAATAATAGTTATGGGCTTAGACATCTAATCCAACAATAAGCTGCTGGAAGAAGTATCTAGCCTGAAATATTGACAGATAATATCAATAAAGTGATGAAGGTAAAAGAAATATGTTTTTACTTGAAGGAAGTAAAAGACAGTTGATGTGATGTTATTAATATCTTATATATTTATATATTAATTAATTTTCTTATGAAAGATTAGCACAACAAGTTTGGAATAAATTAAAAACAGGGAGCATACCATAAATCTTATAAAGTATCCAGTATAGATACATACTTGATAAGATTGAAAGATGTTTCTTATGAAGTATCCATAATACGAGTGTTTCCTTTTCACTTAATGCAAAAAGAATTACTTAATAGAAGGGAAAGTAAGGAATGATGAATAATAAATAAATAATAAATAATAATACCTCTCAAACATGATGCTACACTTCCATTAGCCATGTAGGGGTGAACAAGTAATCTTTCAGTTGGTGTCATACAGCAACGAGGGACCCGTCTGCTAATTGCCCTTTTAAGACTTTTCCAAATCTGCCCCTACCCAATATGTTTTTATTGCTGAAACTATCCGTTGCCACTTGTAATTATGTTAAAGAAAATCTTTTAAGTTCTCCTAAATGAACTTCTGGATCTTCTTCAGATGTACACACATGTCTTCAAGTCAATTAATTGAATATGTTTTTTTAACCATTTGAAGAAAAAAAATTAATGACTAACCAGGCAAATCAAAGAAAAACTCTTGAGGCTTTAGACGTTGCCACCGTCAAATTGAAAGAGCTTAACGAGTATTTCCTTTGAAAATAATGAACATATTGTATTCTATACATTCAAAAATTCATAAGTTAAATGATTTGTAATTTTAGGTAGAGATGAAGTGAAGAAGAGAGATAGGGGGAATTAGTAGACTACGTATTGTTGGAGTGATGTAGTCCATACTGTAATGAAAGCAGCAACAAAAGCTTTAGCATTAAAACTCGCATGTGTAACAGTGCAGACAACAACACCAAGAAGAACAACCAAAATACGCAGCTTTGTGTCTCGCGAATATCGAATCTTGGCAAATGTAACTTCAAATAAACATGATACTGGGATCATACTCAACATTGCTATCTGGGATTTTACAAGTCAATCAAAGAATTCAAGATTCATTTAATTTGAATGCAGTGTTATGTACATTATTACTAGTTTACTACTACATACCTGGTAGAATCCTACTGAGTTCCACATTACACTGATGTTCATTCCAACAATGGAGAAGTTGGAAAACAGGACAAACTTCATAAGTTCTGAAGTGGGAAGATGTGAGGGTTGGATGTACCCCAGCCACCTAAGAACAAGGGTCATCGAGGTGGTAGTCACAAAAGAATAAATACAAATAACAAAATAAAATAGCAACAACCAATTTTAATTTTATTGAGGATTAAGATTGAAAGATTTGTTTGAATTACCTGAGGAAGTATATAGTCATAGCCAAAGCTGGCAGTGACTTCTCTTGACATGTAACTGTACATCATATCAGTTGCTAGAGAAACCTAGGCAAAATGAGGCAAAAATAACAATTAATTATTAATAACTTTGAATAAATCTAATAACATAATTATTGAGAAATTTGAGTTGGTTACCTTTTCAGACACTTTCTGAACACAACTAAGAGCAACCATTCTAGTGCAGGCTATTTGTCACAAGGCAACTTGCAAGAGATTATGGAATTAATTTTCATTATATATTTATTTATATCTAAAAGACAAACATATGTAAGTAAGAGCAAAATTACCATTTTGTCCTAGTTGGAATTGTGTCATGTAATCACTACCCTGCATCAAGAAAAAAACGATTCATTATAACAAATATTAGGTGGTGGAGCCTTGTTGAAAAGTCATGGGAATAACACGAAATACATCAATTATATTTTTTATTTATCCTAAATTATGCATTAATATAACATACCTGATGGACCTGATATTTGATAAGTTCTGGACTCAAGGAATCAGGAGGTTTTATCCATATGATTTGACCCTCAGGTCAATTTGTTAAGAGCCCAAGCCTTCTTCAAGCAGCAACCATGGTACATTCTTGTAATAAAATAGGATGTTAACCAGATAAACATTATACAACATTTCATTATAAAGTATTTACACTTTAAAAATAGATTTAGGGAATGAAAAAAAATTAACCTTCTGAATGTTATGATTAATGCGATGCTCATCATTTAGACTTTGACTAAATTATTTGACTGTATTCTAAACCAAATGGTGCTCTCCACCGAACTAGAGAAGATACGCATGGTGCATGTGTAGTTAAAACATCAAACCATAGCATTGGAATGCACATCCATGCCTCGTATTCAGATGATGTAGTTTGACTGTGTTAACTAAATCCATTCCGAGAACTGGTGACCTTTTCTTCAGTATCATCTGCAAATAACCCTTCATTCTCATCTTGATCTTTGAAGTCAATGATATTCCTATCAACAGTTTTGTGTATTTAACTGTGTAGAAAATAACAAGGGAAGTATCACGCTTACAGTTCTTGCAAATAGTTTAAGAAGAACAAGCATAAATATAGATCAAGGCTGTTATTTACTCCCATGCTCATATTATCAATAGTTGTTTTCTATGAAGTATTTGGTATTCAAAAACAAGGTGGAACACTTCTTTAAGATGAAGGATATTCTTTTGATCTATGATAGAACAAAAGAATCGCCTTTATCTTGAAGAAAGGTTCCAACTTGTGTTTGAATGCTACCTACTACAGAAAACAAGTGACTTTTGGAACGAACCAATGTTGCCTGCTCAAAGAGACAAACAAAATTACATCAGATTATCCCTACAAACATCATACATACACATATACTAGCTAGAGTACTTGATTGTTACCTTTGTGTCTCTAGATTTAATATATACTCATCTCCAAAACAGTTGACTACAGGTGGTAATTTTGAATCTGACTCCTTACAACACGGGATGAATCATTGACTTAAATTCTGGCTTCCAACATCTACAACCTGAAAAGAAATATATATCATTCTCATGAAATAACTCAACAGTTGAGAGAAACAGAAGGATTGCTTACATATATCATTCTCTCATGTCCTGATATCATTAACCGAGAAGAATCACAAGTAAATATCATGGAATGGGAAGAAGGTCTTATTTAGCACAATACACCTAGCGAAGGATTGCCTTCTGTTCTTTCAGACACACAATACACATGGTTAAGCTCTTCTTTAGCACCAGCATCTCTTGCCCCCATAAACTGCCAGTTGCTTCTTCTTGAACTTGATTGTGCAGCATGCTCAACTGCAACTTCCATTTGCTTAATTTGCTCATGTAATGACCACATAGCAAGAACCCCTACACAAAAAACCAAACAAAACACAAATCAACAACAAATATTCATTAGCAAAAACAAAAACAAAAAAGTCGAAAATACCCTTTAGGTTAAGAGGAGAGGTCGTCATTCCAAAAACAGATGGAGAAGAAGAGAACAATCTTTGTACCTGATTTAGGGAATAAAAGAATCTTTAGAGATTGAATGTAAGAGAAAGAAATCTAGGGAACATACATGAAGAAGAAGAGAACAATCTTCGAATCTGATGCCTCCTCCGCTTTTGTTTTCCACATCTTGATGCTTCCGATCGTACCTTGAACCTCTGACTTTCGATCCCAAATCTGACTTGCAACGTTCGATTTCTGATCTTCAACCTCTAATTCGAGTCATATAGTTTCGAATCTCAGAAAATTGACCTTGCTACCTCCTCTTTATAATGAAAGAGGAGTCTCAAATCTGAGAGAAAAATGACGAGTCGCCGACTTAAAATGGATTAGAGTAGATGGGAGGTGAAGTGGGGGGGTCTAGGGCGGGGGTTTTAATTTTTGCGATAGAATAGGTGGGGGTTTTAATTTTTGCTATCAAATAGGCAGGGGCTAGTTTTTTGTGATTTCATTTTCCCCTTTAAATCGCGTGTTTCATTAAAAAAAATATAAAGCGACCCGCTCACATGACGCACATTTTATGCTAGGCGCCCTCTGTATTTCTTTTTTTATTTACTGACACTAATTTTAGGGCATGCACAAATGCGTGTCCTAAATCCTTTAAATTTTAGGAGAGATGACATTGTTTTACGTCACACAATTTTGCGTATCGTAAATCGTGCGTGTCATAAATTGGATGTCATTAAAGGCCTGTTTTCTAGTAGTGATGCATGTGGATGGAATTTCATTGCTTCTGTTGCTTTTTGATCTAACATTTTACATCTATCATCAATTGGTATCTCCTCATTTGTCATCTCTTCAATCTAATTACATATATTAAATATTTATTTTGTTAGAATTTTGTTAATCTATTAACATATATATATATATATATATATATATATATATATATATATATGATATAAATGCTACTTACTATGATTCCTGTTGGAAAATAAAATCTTAATGCAAATCCTTTTGTTTTCTGCTCTCATCATTTAACAGAATTGACCAATAGTCAGAGACTTTGTGGTGGATGTAGGCACCTGGGATTAATGTTTCAAAAAAAATTCTTTCTACTGCATCCCCATTTTTTGTTTTGAATATGATTTCCCTATTAAATTTTTATTGAAATAAGCAAAAGTTGTAATACAATTTTTTTAATATTCAATTAAGTTTTGATTTTTTTAAAAAAAAATTTACAACTTAATTTTAATGAACTTTTATTAACATATTGACTTACTCGTGGCCCCTTTTCATTGAGAATATAGAGTTTGCAATTAGCATCTCTTCAGCAAATACCACATCTTTCACTTCAACTGTGTTACCATTGTATCGAGAGAAGTAACGATCTATTGGTTTATATATATTCTTTCTGTTTTGATCCTTTTTTCTACATGTTAATCTTTCCTTGATCTTGTAGCACGCTTTGGAGAGTTTACATCATCTTTGATATGTGGTGTTAGACCAAGTGAAACAGATGGTTGAGAAGATGGTTTTTGAACAGATGGTGTGGAAGTTATTTCATCTTATTTTTGTTTTGGACTTTTAGGTAAAGCATTTTTATGTAAACTTTCTTGAACAACTTTGTCAACCAAAGCATAAATTGTTGGTGACTCTAATGGTGGTGTGAAAGTTGACGATTTGGGAATAGATTGAGAATCAGTAACTGTTGGTATTTTTTGAGTTGTATTGACTTAGTCTCCTTCTTCAGTTTCTTCATGTGTGGTTGTTGTTTGATCCACAACCATTTCTTGATGTTCTTGTTGGGCTTATTAATGTTGTGTCAAATATGTACTTTATAGGTTTATTTTACCGAGATGGGCCTATCAATTCTCGTGTTTAGTGCTTATCCATCTAGCCTATATATTGCATGCATGTAACAATTAGGGTAAAGGATTGTATTTCCTTACCTAGCTCTCACAGAGAAGTTCACGTTGAACTCTTTTAGAGATTTGATAATTAAATTATTCGGCACTACTTTGATCTTCATTGTTTTTGTTATTTAATTCACATCTATATAAAATTTGTCGATCTTAGTAATTATTATTCTACAATAGGTATCATAGCAGGAGATAGTGTAATTAATTCGATACTCTTCTGTCGAGTTATTACTAGGGTTTTTCGTTTTTGTTGAATCTGTTCTTGTTGGCTCAATCGCTTCAATCGGTTGTAGGCAGTAGATCTAGATCTCCATTTTCTCTCTAGTACTCGATTCACGTTTTTACACATCTGATTCTATATCCATTCATGTGAATTGTTGTTAAGATGGCCAACGAAGATCCAAATGCTCTTTCATTCAACGTTTCCAGCAGTATTGGATCCACGACTAGGATTCCAATCCTTTTTCCTCAAGAATATGAAGTCTGGGTGTTGCACTTTGAAGACTATGTTCTTGGAATCGAAGAACATGGAGCCACAATATGGCATGCAATAACGGAGGAAACATACAAGTTTTTTGGTATAAACCAGAAGATCAAAACCTTGGATGAATATAATAAACTCCTTCTTGAACAAGAAGAGGTTAAAAACGATGAGAAGAATAAACTTATGGCTAACATAAAAGATAATTATTCGCTTCTCTCTTCCTCCAGATATGTTTCGTCTCATGAGCGCTTGTACTACTGCTAAAGAAATATGGGATAGGCTGAAAGAGCTCTAATCAAGTGATGCTGATATGGAACACTTTGTGCAAACATTGTTGTTGTCGGTGTTCGGAGGATTTTAACAGAAATCTGATGAAACACTGAATCAGACATTCAATCGTTTCAACCATTTTTTGAGCAGGATGTTGAAAAATAATCTCAAGCGTGAAATCATTGAACAGAAGGTCACATTTATGAAAGGGCTAAGACCTAAATGGAAGGCTGTTGTTTCCAAGGTCAAGGCTCATCAAAAGTTTAAAAGATACACCTTGGCTAAATTGGTAAGAATTTTGAAGTCTCAAGAAGCTGAAGTAACATAAGATGCAAGGTTGTTACGAGTATGGGATTGTTAGCATTGGTTGTAAAGGGAAAGAAGTTTTCTGAAGAAAACTCTGAATCAGACCTTTCTCAGAGTGAAATCGCAAACGAAGAATATGCGCTTATGGTATCCAATCCGAAAAAGTTCTTTGAGAAGAAATATTCTAGATTCAGAAACAAAAACAAGCAAGGCAACTTCAGTTCGGAAAATCCTAGAGAGGATAGCTTTAAGAACCCTACAAATAACGAGGAGAAAAAGGAGAAGAAGTTGTTAGGCGATTCAGGCTATTATTGCAATTACTGTCATGGTAAGAATCACTTTGGAAAAGAGTGTATGTTAAGGAAGAGAAATGAGAAGAGTGAATCTGAGAAGGATGAAGCCTACTATCTTCGGAAGATAGAGGAGGCTTCAGAAAAAGAAAACATCTACTGCAAAGCCGGTGTTGATCGTACAGGAAGGAAGTGACGATGAGGGAAGAGGTGAAGTCTTGTCTACCAACTCTGAAGATGAAGAAGTAAGAAAACCCACTCATGGGGGTTTCTTTGTTGCAGAGTCAGAAGTGAAGAGTTATGAAGGTAGATGTTTGATGGTTCAGAACGGAGCTTTGGAACATAGGGGATATGCTACTCATGAAGGTCGAGCTTCCAAAATCTGCTTTTCTGCGAAGACGATTTCGGAGCAAGTAAATGAATGCGAGAAGTTGGTTGACAAGGTACATTCTATACTTTTATCTCTTAACATTCGTGTTTCACGTTATGATTCTGAACTAGATGATGTAGAATATATTGTGTCTAATTTTAGTAATAGTCTAAAACGAACTCGTCTAAGTAATATTAATCTGACTGATCAACTCAACATGGCAACATTTAAAAGTGAAGAGAGGAGATTAAAAATTAAAGCTTTGGAATTAGAGCTTACTAGGAAAAGAGATGATGTAATTTTCCTTAAGAAAGACAGTCGTGCTCTTATGAAACAAAGAAATATTTTATGTTTAATAGCTAAGCGTTTATATTTCAATATTACTCAATTGCATCTTGATTGTGAAATAGGAAAAGGTTTGCACAAAATGATTTTGCCCTTTCTTGAATTGAAAGAGGATGAAATCGATGCAGAATGTTATAAGTGCGAATCCATTGTTTCTTCTCATGCTTATCGTGTTGGTCTTGAGAAAATAGAATAATACATAAAGTCCATACAACACAAAATGATGTTGAAAAATACTTTAACTGAAAAAGATAAGGAATAAATCAAATTGACATCCATGCAGAAGTATGACTTATTATGCAAGAAGTTGAAATCGGAAAATTATCCTGAACATGAGGATATTTCTTATTTCGATGAAAGCGAAATGAGTGAGATTTTTGTAGAGGATGAAGTTGACTGCTTAGGTTTTGTACAGATTTTTGATGAACCTAAGAAATGTTTAATTTCTGAAAATTCAGTGGAATTTGTTAAAATTGCTGAAAATAAAAGTTCTAAGGTGTTAAAAGAAAAACAACTGTTTTTCTAAAGGTTCAAATTGTACCAAATCAAGTGTTCGTAACTAAAGGACTGGACAAAATTGACACTTCGAAATTAATGTCCAAGGTTAATACTGATAATGTTGATGGATGTAATGAGTTCTCCTGGTTCGCACCAATCGACAATGGAGATGAAACAAAAGGTCTTTCAGAAATGACCTCTTGGAAAAGCAAAGGGAAATATGTTTCGGAACCACTGAACCGTGTTGAATTTCGTTACGATCAGGAAGGGCCAAGTGGCACAAAAGATGCTCCCACTGAAACCTCTTCAGAACAGCAAGAAACACTAGTTAGAAAGGAGAAAAAGAAAGCTAACATTCACAAATCAGCTAAAGAGTTGATCGCTAAGAAATGAACGTTGAATTCTAGATATATAAAAAATTTGAAAGAAAGAAAGAATTTTTGGAAAAATAAGAATTCAAATCAAAGTTCTCTTAATTCAGAAAGAGTTTCAATTCATAATAAAAATTCTTCTCCAATTCCAAAACCACAATCAAAATCTTTTTCAAATCCTCATGTTTCATCACCACAAGTTACAAAATCGCATGTTTCATAACCTTGTGAAAAGCCAAAAACTAATTGTTCTCCAAAACCACAATTTTCAAAACCAGTCAATACATCAAACGATGTTAAGGGCAAAAGTAAAGTTGTTTCGGAACCAAAGAT